TCGTCGCCCGAGCCGGACTCGGATCCCTTTAAGACCGACCGGGACACCGCGGTGAGAGAAGCGGAGAGGAGGGGGAGAAGAAAGAGGAATTAAAAAAGAAAAGGAAGAAAGAGAGACAGGGAGGGAGGGAGAGGGAGAGTCAGGGAGAAGAGAGAGAGCGAGCGAGCGAGCGAGCGAGAGAGAGAGAGCGATAAAAAAAGAAAGATGACATCGTGCGAGTGGAGGCGCCGAGGCGGCCGGGCTCAGGCTGCGTCTGCCTCGGCCACGGCGTGAACTCGACACCGAGGCTTCGACACAACACCCGGCGCGGCCTGTTGGTGTGAGGGAGGGGGGGGAATACAGACCAACAGAGATTTATGAAGCGACAACGTTGATTTTTCAGCTCTGCCAGTCCGCCCGCTTACTTTACTGGCTGAAAGGCTTCATAAACTCATAACACCGCGTGTTTGTTTGATGTGTAATGTGTGATGTGAAGGTGTAGAAATGACGGTACCGATTTCGTGGGTCGAGATACTGAAGCCCGTAACGCAGCGCTGTTACTGAGCCGCTGCGGGGAAGTTGAGCAGAACCTCATTCAGATCTGAGATTAAAACATTTCATCCAGCCACTCCGGGTTGAAGCGGGGCAGCTCCGTGCTGGTCGGTAAAAGCGCTGTTTTCGCGTGTATACAGTCATTTCTGCAGCCAGGGCAGCTGCAGGTTCCCTCCTCAGAGGATGCTGAGCAGCAGAACCTAAATCCTCTCCGTTTGGGCTTTTAGTTCGGGGCTGTTTTCACTTCAGAACAAAATGGATGCTGCTTGGAGCAACTTTCTCTTCCAGGTGAGCGAGGTCCCGGCTCCTCTGAGGGTGTGTGTGTGTGTGTGTGTGTGTGTGTGTGTCCTGAGCCACACTTAAAAAAGGTGGTTCTTTAAGAGTTCTTAATAGTTCTGTATAGAACCTGTCTGAAAATGGTTCTATATAATTCCATATAAATGGTTCTGTTGTAACAATACACTCCTAAAAAAGATGGTTCTTCAAGGGTTCTTTAGTGAAAGTGATGGTTCTGTTTAGAGCCATGAGTTCTGTATAGAACCGGTTCATGCTTAAATGGTTATCTGCGTGGTGATATGGTTCTTCAGATTGATGGATAATATGTTTTGTATGTGGTTCTGTATAGAACCTGTTTGAAAATGGTTCTGTTTAGCACCGAATAGATTACAATCTTGACATTGTAACAATACATTGTTTAAAAAGTGGTTCTTTAGTAAAAGGAATGGTTCTCTTTAAAGCCATGAGTTCTATATAGAACCAGTCTATGCTTACAGGATTCTTTGCATGCTGAAATGGTTCTTCAGATTGACGGAGAACATGTTCTGAATGTGGTTCTGTATAGAACCTATTTGAAAAGGATTCTATATAGCACCAAAAAGGGTTCTGTTCTTGTTACAATCTTGACATCATAACAATACATTCTTAAAAAGTGGTTCTTCGAGGGTTCTTTAGTAAAAGGAATGGTTCTGTTGACCTCCATTAAAAGTAAAGTATGTTTTTAACCTTTTTGGAGATGCGAGGTTTTGTTCCAACAGCAGCGAGATATGTGTATGGTTCTATGTTAAAAAAATGGCTCTGTGTAGCACCAAAAAGGGTTCTTTTGTTGCTATAAGATTGACATAACGACAGCACAACCCATTTTCAAAAAGGTTCTACACAGAACCATATACAACACATTCTCCATCAGTCTGAAGAGCCATTTCACCATGCAAAGAACCGTTTCGGACTGAGTTCTACATAGAACCATTTATCTATCTATCTACCTATCTATCTTTAAAAAGGTTCTATACAGAACCGTATACAACACATTCTCCATCAGTCTGAAGAACCATTTCACCATGCAAAGAACCGTTTAGAGTTCTACATAGAACCATTTGTCTGTCTATCTATCTATCTATCTATCTATCTATCTATCGTTCTAAAAGTTTCCATAAAGAACCATGTACAACACATTCTCCTTCTGTCTGAAGAACCATTTCACCAGTCAGAGAACCGTTTCGGACTGAGTTCTACATAGAACCATTTATTTATCTATCTTTCAAAAAGGCTCCATACAGAACCATTTACAACACATTCAACATCAGTCTGAAGAACCGTTTCTCCTTGCGAAGAACCGTGAGTCCTGTGTAGAACCATTTGCATGCTTAACCCATTAATAAGACGAGTTTTACTGCACAGCTCTATAACCTAAGAACAGCTCAGCCAGTTTGCACTGAAGACCCTGTAGTTACTGAGTAATAAGCCTTAGTGTGTAATAAGCCTGGGTTGCTAATGGGTTAAATGGTTCTTTGTGTGGGAAAATGGTTCTTCAGATTGATGGACGGTGTGTTGTAAACGGTTTTATATAGCATCAAAAAGGGTTCTTCTGTTGCTACAAGCTTGAGATCATAACCATAGCAGAACCCTTTTTGATGATATGGAGAACCAACACAGTCTCCATCAATCTGAAGAACGATTTTACCACCGTGTAATCACTCATGGTTCTAAATAGAACATTTGCCTTTGTTAAAGAACCCTTGTAGAACAATGTATCCTAGTTCTTCACAGCCGGCTGTTGTATATATGTGAAAATGTAAGCATTTCCTTTTTTCCAGCAGCAAATCCACTCGTTTGTATTTATGAAGGAATAAGTTCTGCTTGGTTTATTGACAGAGGTGTCCAGTTCTGGTTCTGGAGGGTCTCTGTCCAGGACAGCTTGGTGCTCAAAGACGCCTGATTCAACATCAGGGGGGTCACCAAACTGTGCTGGAATCATACTGGATTGAAATCACTCCACAATTATTACTGTCAGACTGTAAAACTACACACTGCAGATTCATACTGGATTGAAATCACTCCACAATTATTACTGTCAGACTGTAAAACTACACACACTGCAGATTCACACTGGATTAAAATCGCTCCACAATTATTACAGTCAGACTGTAAAACTACACACTGCAGATTCATACTGGATTAAAATCACTCCACAATTATTACAGTCAGACTGTAAAACTACACACACTGCAGATTCATACTGGATTAAAATCACTCCACAATTATTACAGTCAGACTGTAAAACTACACACACTGCAGATTCACACTGGATTAAAATCGCTCCACAATTATTACAGTCAGACTGTAAAACTACACACTGCAGATTCATACTGGATTAAAATCGCTCCACAATTATTACAGTCAGACTGTAAAACTACACACTGCAGATTCATACTGGATTCATACAAGTCTTGTTATACTACCATTGCAGATAAAACTAACCCAGCTGAAATAAACGTAATGAAACTGATATATAAAGTTCGTTACAATGCTGTTAATTTTGGACGGGTGGTGAAAAATTGCCTACAAATGTTTGTATATATAGAGTATGTAGTGAATGAGAAATGGAGGTGTGGACCTTGTAACTGAAACTGGTTCTGAAAGTTTAAGAGGTTTAGAAGTTTGTGTTTCTTTCTCAGACCACGGCCGGTCAGACCCAGGTGGACGGCAGCCTCCAGTCCGAGCTCCTGCCCCAGAGTCCAGCCGCCGAGCACCTGGTGCCTCCGTCCACTGTGGACACGGCCGCGCTCAACGAGGACCCTGTACCTGGTGGGTGAGAAAGGAGGGATGGGTAAAGATCAGAGCGAACACTTAGTACAATTGTGATGGTGATGACGGGGAACCTTCCGTACCTTTCAGGCCTTCATGGGAATTCCACCCACTTTTCAAAATTTCAAATATTCGATTACTAAGAAACTCATTCAGACTGGTTTGGTGTGAAACGGTTCAGATGTCTTTACAGTGGTGGTGATAGGAACCAGGGGTCGCCATGACTACAACACAGATATAGACATTTTATTTACTATCCAGAACCACCAGTGAACCTACACGAGTCTTCTGAGTTTATATATGTAGTGTCGATGATGGGAAAATAGTGATAGATCTGAGAGGACTATTTTGTCTCACAACACCTTGAACGTACCCCTCCGCCATTGAATAGACCAGAACCCTCTCAAAACTAATGTAAAACATCAGGAAGCGTATTCATAACTATTTTACGTAGAACCTTTATGTGAGGGAGCTTTTAGAGGCCTTAAACTGTTTGGATGTCTGGTTCCTATCACCAACATTGTGAACAACTCCAGCTCGGTGCAACGAAGGAAATTTTGAAAAATTGGTGGGATCCCCTTTTCAGAGAAAGCTTGATTCTTTCTGGGAACTGAATGTCTGTAATTGTCTGTAATTGTCATTTTTATTTAACAGAATCATCAAATGTGTTTTATTTGTTCTCTACAAATATTGTACTAATCTTAAGTTTGGAACAGTGTCTGTGTATCATGTTTTTAATGTAGCTTTTAGTTAGAATTTAAAATAAACTAAACAAAACGAGCACATATCAAGTACAAAGAGAAGCGAGATGAAGTAGGACGGGGTCACTTGTTTAATGTAAAGCACAGATCATTTGTATTTATCCGTTTGTCTGCTGTTTAAATTAGAAATGTCCTCCGTCTCTGCAGTGAAGCCGCCGTCCCGTCCGGCCCGCGTGGCTCACATCTGCTCCATCTGCAGCAAGCAGTTCAAGAACAGCTACAACCTGCGGCGCCACCAGTCCGTCCACACCGGCGTCCGGATGAAGAGCGGCGCCGCGCAGAACCAGGAGGGCGGCGTCAAAGAGGCGGTGGAGCGGCCCACCGTTCCTCTGTCCCTCCTTCAGCTGACCATGCCCGAGCAGCACGCCCCCACCCTGCAGCCGCCGGCCGTGCTCCCCGACCCCCTCCCGCAGCCCCTGCTCACTCAGGACACCAACGAGTCGGCCATGGTCAGCATGGCGTCCACCGTCACGGCCCTGCCTCCTGCCGCGGTGGTCGTCATGGCAACGGCTGAGCCTGTCCAGGTGGGCGTCCCGGGCTGAGTCGTGTTTCTGGCCTTCCATTCATAATTTAGGTTGCACTTTAGTTCACTGAAGAATAACAACACATTCGTAACACGTAGATAACTTGTTTATAGCATCACCCGAGAGACGAAATGCTAGTGCTGAACTTTTTTCCAATATCACACGTCTTAGATGTTTCTGATAAAATGATTGTACAGTTCGAACCGTACACTAGGGGGTGCTCTGCACCTTTTACTCTCTAGCCCGATCCAGCCATTCACTCATAAAAGTGATTTTCTCTGGTCAGGAGCTTGATCAGAAGCGACTGACGGCACGGATGATCTGGTAATGTGAGAAGAAAAATGAGTCACACTTCAGCTTTCCGATCTTGATTTGGATTGATCAGAGGCCCTCCAGTGTTTTCAAACATGATTTTTACGACTCAGATCCTTCACGAGTCCCGTAGTGGTAGATAGTCAGCGACAAAACTGAGTACTCATTTAAGTAACAGACTGGAAGAGTGGAGGAAAAAGGTGGAAGAGACGTGTCTGCGCACCACATGTGTTGCAAACTGCAGAGACACAGAAGCTGCTTGTTGACTGGGGGCGATTAAGAGTCTTCATCATGTTTATAATGTTATAATGTTTTGATCGAGATGTCAAGTAAGTAAGTAAAGTTTATTTATTTAGCGCTTTTTACAACAGGTGTTGTCACAAAGCAGCTTTACAAGGAAATGAGCATTACAAAAAGAAATCCGGGTCTGAGCCCCCATGAGCGTCGCCAGTGGCGACAGTGGCAAGGAAAAACTCCCTAAGAGAAACAGGAAGAAACCTTGAGAGGAACCAAGACTCAGAAGGGGAACCCATCCTCCTCTGGTCGACACCGGATAGTAAACATCGTTAGTATAAAGTATTATAGTACAAAAACAGGGAAAACAGGTGGAGCAAACAATTAATTTGAATAGTTTAGTTCATGCAGCAGCAGCATCAGTGGGGTCAGGTTGTGAGGGTGAGGTTTGCACGGCGAGCGGTGGCACCCGATCAAGGCAGAAGAGGCAGCAGCATCAGACACACAGGATGGGTAGCTGTTCAACTCGGCAAAGGAAAGAAAGGAAAAACACACAGAGTCAGTTCTGCGATGGGTGATTGATTAATTTGATTAGTTTAAATGATTGATTGGTTCAAGTGAATAATTTTGATTAGTTCATGTAGCAACAGCAGTAGTATTAGTGGGGTCAGGTTGTGAGGGTGAGGTTTGCAAGTCACTTTCTTTAAAATGACAAGTGAGCTGCCAGTTTATAGTGAAATATTCACCAGTTCTCACTATGATATCTGCGTTTCTCACCTCATATTCATCAGCAGTTTGCGTTTTTACCAGAACATGTGAGGTCCAGTTTAGTGTTGTTTCAGTCGGGAGAGCTCTGGGACTTTGAGTTCAAATCTAGTGTTCAAATCCAGCGTAAAACATATCTAAGTTATATTGTGGTTAATGATTATATTGAGCATATTGGGTCTGTTTTTCTGCTATATTTTGTTTCTCTGCTGTTCATTTGGATTATGATATTTTGTTTTAGGCCCATTTCTTATTTTTACCCCTACTCCTTTTTTTCGGGGGGGGGCCACTTGGAACTAAGTTACAAGGGGTAGTGGTTAAAAATTTCCCCTACAAAATGGGACCCTCAAATAAAAAGAGCATCACTTCATTAACAGCTACCAGTGCTGCTCTGTAGGCGACCCTGCCAGTCTGCAGTGACAGCACAGGAGGGTAAAGTTCAGCTCCTCACTGCTGGGCTTTAGTTACATTTAGGGCATCATATGCCTTCAAAGAGGGGGGCAATTATTTATTATCACCCACTGCTAATTCTTCAGTGATATGAAGCTGAAGTCAGATATTCACCAGCTTCTTGTTAGAATTTTCCTGTTTTACCTTAAATAGAGCAGCAGTTACATTCTGGCGCTTGAGGTGTCAGAACTGCTGCACCATTTAAGGTGGAACGGCAAATTTAGTTAGCTATCTACTGAAACTTCAGCTACTACTAGCGATCTTTAATGCTTGTTATGAAGAAAAAGACCAAAATACACTGAAACGACATTAAACTAAGATAATACAGTGGTTATTGTAATTTTCTAACAGAGAAAATTCTCACATTTGTGGGTTTCTTTGGTCTCTTGTTCAGCCATCTTGCCAGTTTTTCTTTTTTTCTCATAACTCTCTTTTTGGAGTCTCTGAAAAACCTCTGTATGGAGGACCGTGTAGCTCTAACACTTTACCCCCCCCTCTATCTCAACAAGAATCAGAACACCCTACCCCTAGGAGTGAATGCGCAAAACGTAGGGTCTGAGTTGTAGGAGCAAAGTGGTGAGATGGGATTGGGCCTCAACGTGGTTGTTCTGATCTCTCTCTCTAAAGCACGTCACGATTTTGTAGCTAAAAATAAAGACTGATTATTGTGAAAGGAACGGTTCTCACAGTCGTGTTCTCTCTCTCTCTCTCTGTGTTCAGCAGCGGCCGGTGAACCCAAACCCTGTGCGTAAGAACCACGCGTGCGAGACGTGCGGGAAGGCCTTCAGGGACGTTTATCACCTGAACCGCCACCGGCTCTCTCACTCGGACGAGAAGCCCTTCTCCTGCCCCATCTGCCAGCAGCGCTTCAAGAGGAAAGACCGCATGAGCCACCACGTCCGCTCCCACCAGGGCGGCGTGGAGAAGCCCTACGTCTGCCCCCACTGCGCCAAGGCCTTCTCACGGTCAGACACACACACTCACACACACACGCACACACACACACACACACACTGTCTGCCTGAAGTTTAATACTTTTAAATACTTTTTAATACAAACAAGAACTTTTTTTTGTTGATTTTCAATGACGTAACAGGTCCAGAGGAAAACAGTAATAGCCATGTAAATATTTGTGCCAAAGTTAGTGACAGTGCTGGTTTTGGGAGAATACTGAAGGCCACACCCTCTTTATCCCTTTGTTGTGATGTCAGCACTCGTTAAACTACGTTCCAGCCAGTGCTGAGTATCGGCCAATACCAATCGTATATTTTTTACGGATAGTACAGTGATGTTCGCCGTCCGTTTCATGACACAGTAAACAGTCTGGATCATTTTCTTCAAAATGACCCTTTTACAGTGTCTCTAATATTGACTTATGGTTTGATATTGATATTCGAGATCTCTGTTTTGAACCTGATATAACGTGACGTTAGGTTAAAATCACAAGCAGTGCAGGTAAAGCAAAACGTTTATGCAATGTAAGCAAACTGCTTCAGGCAAATGACGAAAGATGGCTGGGTTACAAGTACGGGTTTTTTTTTTTACCCCGATTTTCTCCCCAATTTAGTCGTAGCCAATTCCACCCCGCTAGTTAGGACTCCCCCAATCACACAATCCTATCAACGCTAGGAGGGTGAAGGCTAACACAGGCTTCCTCCGAGAACTGTGAAGCCAGCCAGCGCTTTCTTTTCGAGCTGCCGCTCACGCAACATCACTGGACAGCCGAACGCGCACAGACACCTGCGCTGACTAGCATCGCACTGAGTGAGGGATGGGGGAGAAAGGCAGCCATCCCACCCACCCAGAGAGAGCGAGGCCAATTGTGCTCTCTCGGACTCCCGGCTACGGACGGCTGTAACATCACCAGGGATCGAACTCTTGATCTCCTGATGACAGGGCCGACGCTTAGACGGTTGCGCCACTCGGGAGCCCCAAGTACGGGTTTTTTGTTAGTATCATCAGTACTTAAAGAACACTGGCCAACTAAGTTGACTAGATCACTGATTTTTCTTTTGTGGCTCTGTTCATGCTTTTCGCCTGTTTCTAGTTATCAGAACTCTGGAAAAATTAAACACTGTGACGGGCACTGTGAACATATCTTGGCCCAGCCATATATGGTACACTGGCACTTCATCGTCTGCTTAATTCCACACAGCACAGAATTAGATCTGTTTGTCATCTTCATGGCTTCTGAGTGCAATAAAGAAACAGAAGCTTGGAACTGGATCAAGCTTATTTTAGCCAGTACCTGATGCATTAAAACATACCTGTGTCCAACTCTGTATCCAATGTCATGACATCCTTAGCTGTTATGTTTTTCTTGATTTATTGAAAAATATCAGTGAAAATAAAACTCATAATAAAAATAAATTCTCATGGTCAAACACACACACACACACACACACACACACACTGCCTGTCAGAAGTTTTATACTTTTAAACACTTTTTAGTACAAATTAAAACATTACTCACAAGAGGCAAAGCCATACTTTTGACTGAGTAATAGAAAGATGGAAAGAACTGAAATGTTATCATAGAGCTGTAATATTCAGTGTAGCTGTAATGTGTTGATATTATGTTGACAGAAGCCTGAGCTCATTATCTTTCACTCTCTTTTTCCTGTAGCCCTGACCATCTCAACAGCCACGTCAGACAAGTCCATTCTTCAGAGCGGCCTTTTAAATGCCCGGTACTGTGCAGTTATTTCGTTCTACACTCACAAAGCTGTTATAGGTTTATTAAAATGTGATTAACTCTTTCACAAAAAAAGATATTTACTCTCTTAGATCATTAACTTGGGAAATTCAGGGTTTATATAATTTGTATGTAATTTACTCAACGATTTCCGTAAAAGTCCGTAACTTTGTAATTATCTATCTATTTTGTTGTTCCTCTCAGACGTGCGAGTCGAGTTTTGCCACGAAAGACCGCCTGCGCGCTCACATGATCCGGCACGAGGAGAAGGTCCCGTGTCACATCTGTGGCAAACTGCTGTCTGCCGCTTACATCACCGATCACATGAGGGTGCACAACCAATCACAGCATCATGCCTGCCACCTGTGTAACCGAAGTGAGTGCCGTACTCTTCTTTTTCTCGTCTTCCACTTTGTAAACCTCTTCTCTCTCTGTGCAGATATCCGAGAAGGGTCTGGCTGCAGATACGCACTCTCAGCCTGACATGCACCGCCAGCCTGTTAATGACGTCAGTGCCGCTCTGACACGACAGAGTTTTAGTCAGTTTTATGAGCAAAAACAGCAAAACACGAACTGTTGAGAAACAAGAGTTACACTGAACATATATTAACGTTGTCATACTTGTAATAAGGTAGTTAAATATGGAAAGTTTCAAAATAAAAGCACGACGATAAGACATGAATGTCGGGTTCATTCGCAGAAAAAAACAAACAGGCCACCGCTTCAACACATGAAAGCCATGCTGAAGATGATAAGAACCGTTAGGAATAAAACCTGAGGGTTTTGCTTCCTAACGGGAAGATGGTTGGCTTGATGGTTGCTGTTAGAGAACACTACTAAACGAACAAATGTGTCTGGAATCAGTCCCTAAACACCTGACTGAATGACTTAAATCCTTTACACTGTGACCCTGCATTCACAGCGGCAGCGACACGATGTGACACAGTGGCCATACATCGTTCATTTTAAATAAGAGCTGGCGATTTCCGCCATCAGGAGGCGGCGCGAATGTTGGCGACGCGAAGTGGGCGGAGTCAGCGACGCAACAAAGCCGAGCAGTGTTTAACTGTATGCAAATGAGCGAAGCGATGTGGCGGTTACCAATAGGAATTGAGCACTGAGCAGCGTAGTATGCGCTCTATGTCCGCCACTGTGAAACAGTGCGCTCCATTTTTGGTTCCTAGATAGTTGTTCCTACTAGAGATGGAATAATGGTAGCGGTGCTTTCGTCGCAAATAGACAGTGATCACTAAGATCAAATACTGTTTTCCCCACATACTGACTGCACAGACACGGGTTAAATAAAAATATTTTAGCGGGAACACATCTGATTTGTGCTTGGCATCAGTGAAACCATGGCAACCATCGGTCCGCTCGAGTTCAGAAACACCCACAGGTGATGAGCGATCAGCGTTTTGGGCGACAAGAGGCGAAAAGTCACTGCTGGTGTGAACGTAGAGTGATAGCAACCCCTCAGGAAAACACAGAATACCTTTAGCAGCTACTGAAAAGCGAAAACCACCAGGAACCAGTATACCCTTTTAATGGGATACCGTGTCATTGGGCTGCTTCTGCCGTTGTGGCAAAGAGTGCATGTGCATTTGGGAGCTGGGAGTGCATTTGGCTGAGAGTGCGTGTCTGCAGCCGGACTCTACTGGGATATCCGACAAGCCTTAATACATTCTTAGTAATTTATAAACATTCTTATTGTCAATTATAAATCGATATTATTGTTCTGATCATTTTCTCTTTTAGGCGTGTAACTCGTGAACAGAATAGTACCTTAAAATCACATTTTAAAATGCTGCTGCCTGATATATCACGTAGTTATTGTGTATGTGCTGCTTCTCTGTTCATGTTTTGACATAATATGAAAATACCAGCTTTTCATTGCGTAAACATTTCATGATGAGTGGACCAATAGAAACAGTCCGTAAGTGTTTGGAAAAAATATCTTTATATTAACTCACATTTTAATGTATTTTACACGTTTTTAACTATCCTGAAATGTTTTATATTATGCATCATACATTTTTGCCATAAACACAGAGCGTCATGAACATTGCTGGTCACGCTGCGTGGTGTTCGCACGTATTTTTACATTGTGAGGCTTTAACTCTTTATTTTTTTGTCTTTGTTTCTGTTGGATTGTTGTCATGGCCCTGTGTTGGACAGAACAGATGTTTTCCATCACTTGGGGTTGCCAGATTTGCGCTGTCCCCGACAAATCCGGCTAGTTTTAAAGTGCAGTGCAGATAGAAATTATATAGCGGCGCAGAAGGTTGTTGTTTAGACTACTTTCTAAAAGTATTAGTATTTTAATAAATATGCTGTGTTTTACAGCCCTGTTTCAGACATTTAGGTTTGAGAGAACAGAGAGAACGACTAAAACCTGCTTCTGTACTGAAGAAGCTGCTAGAGCGTGTGATAGTATTTACACAACGAAGAATACTTTTTAGTTGCTGTAATAATAGTAATAATAATAATAACAGTGGTAATAATGGCAATAGTAGCAACAATAGTAGTACTAGTAATATCTATAATAATTATCAATTATCTATAATGTTTTATTATTGTTATTAGTACTGTTACTGTTGTAAATGTTATCATTATCTTCTAAATAGTAGAAAATCCTGTGATGTAATTTTGAGTTCATATCAAGAACAAACTTAAACATGCCATTTTCTGCTAATTTTAGTGCCCAAAAACTTTTGCACAGGCCACCTTTAAGTTGCTTTTTTCCCCAGTATGTTAAATTCACCAAATAAACAGTAATTGTGCCTTGAAATGTGTGGAAGTGTGTTCCCGGTAGAGGGTGTGTTAACTTATCTTTACTTAGAGAAACAGCAAAAACCGTGGGACGCCCAAACTTTTGCGCACGACTGAACTATTTTCACCTACTTATTTTAAGTAAATGAATACTTTTCCCAGTAAAGTGTTGCAGGAAGGCTGTACGTGGTTCGTTTTTGCCCAGTTAGGTCCATTTTGTTGTTTGGCCACTTTCTAAAGCTCTGATTATGCAATTAATCGTCAAGTAAACTGGGAGATTATTCGATGCTAATAAATTACTAATATAATTGATGTCATCAGCTCCAAAACTTAGTGTATCGCAGCTTTCACAGCCCAGATGTTACAGGATTTTACCAGTTGAACCATGTGTCTCTGCTCAAGGTCAGATAACTACATGGTTTTGTCGGTCTCTTGTTCAGTATCTGTCTGTTGTTCCTGGTACAGAGTGTTCTGACCGTAGATTCAGGGCCACGCTCTGTAGGAGATAACCACACATACTGACTGTGACAGAACATCCAAATAAGACGTCTGTGACGATATAAGGATAGTTGCGCTTAGAAGTCTGGGGTTTATTCAGAATAATTCATGGCGTCTCGTTCGTTCTCGCAGGCTTCACCACGCTGACGTATCTGCGCATCCACGCTCAGAAGCACCACGGTCAGGAGTGGAAGGAGAGCGGCGGTGGATTCGGCTCAGCTGGTGCTGGAGGCGTTCTGGTCTGTCAGCTCTGCGGTGTCCACTGCAAAACCCCCACGCAGCTGCAGGGTCACATGGGCACCCACAACCCGCCACTGAGCGAACCAGTGCCGGTCAGCAGCAGCGCGGACGGAGCGGCAGCCGGCACCGTGACCCTGAGCAACATGACCCCTGCGCCCACTGTGTTCGTCAGCGGCAACACAGTGGTGGACCTGCTGGTCACCGACTGCTCCTGCATCGCCCAGCAGCCACAGAGCTAGTAACTGCAGGCTTGTAATACAAACACATACACACACTGCCCGTCAAAAGTCTAGAGGCATCTTAATGTCTTTTGCAATTCATTTTTCACTGTTACTTTGCAGTGAAGTAGGAAAAAAGTACCTGCTACAAGGCTCATGCCATGGAAGATAGAGCTAAAAAAAGGAAAAAAAAACGATAAGTGGTATGTAAACATTTCAGAATGTACAATTCATACACACAAACAAAACTGTAATAACAGCCTATTTTTACTTTGTCATGGTTGTGATGTCACAGACATTTAGCCCCACCCATTCCTGTTGAAGTAATGCGGAGTGTTGTTCCCGCAGACAGTCTATTGGAGTGGACGATGCGGGAAAACGATTGAACGTTGAGGATCCACACATCTGAAAAAGAGAGGATTTCAATCTGAAACATTTGTTCGATACATTTCACCATGGGCTGCTTATTGAACAAGGCGCAGTCCAGGGCAGCCAATCAGAACAGAGCTTGATTGCATGCATCAGTCTTAAATGCACAGTAAAGGAAAACAATCTGATTAACTCAAACCCATAAACAGAAGCTGCAAATGTTAATGTAGAAGTGACTTTATGACTGATCAAATCTGCTAATCCTCTCTGCTTCTTGTTCATCAGAGTGTCTTTATGGTATGAATAGCAGGTTTTGCCAAAATAATCCTTTTTTTTCTATCTTTCTTTGAAAAGCTAGATGTTCTTGGGCTTCTGACGGGCAGTGTCCAATCCCACACAGTCACACGTGCGCTAAGCTAGCGAAGTGTGCGTTAAGTGCGTACCCTGATGATACATAGGACATGTTTATAAGAATGCTATATGCTATAACCCTCGCTCCCACCCACAGAACCACACTACTAGAGCAAATACTGTGAACAGAGCCATCATACAGCTAGCTGAGCAGCACTCACAACAGCGTACACCGACTACGCAGCTACTGTAGCAAATAATTGTCACCTCAGTACGACACATTACGCGCATACACATTACGCTTGTCTGTCTCCGCAGCAGACACGCAGCTTAAGGACGTTATTGTCTCAGAATTGCCAAGGCAAGATCGCTGAAAGGCCAGCATGAGGAGAGTGGAGATGCCCTGTGTCTCAAATCGAGAACTCCCGTAGAGGACTAGCTAATGTAAGTGCAAGTAGTTTATTTACAATGGCAGTTAGATGGCACGTGGCGTATGTTATTACCTGGATAAGGTACTAGAACCACCAGAAAATGAGGTCTGGAACGTTGCACGCAATAGCTGCGTCCCAAAAGCTAGGCTGCGGTCAAAGTAGGCTGCAGTTTTAGACCGCTGTGTCACTGAAGGCTGTTCAGTCAAAAGGATCCTTCAACTACAGCCGAGAACGAAATACAGCCTACGTTCTGACCATTTTTAAGGACATTACCAGAGGTAAATCCTTCACTGTCCTCTCCCACCTGTAATCCTTCACATTTCCTACTAAAAGTAGTTGTAAGCTGTTCATGTAAGCTGACTTCCAGAAACTGAAGTTGGTTAAGTTAGTTTATTTGTCAGCTCAGAAATACAGGGTGATTCAAAAAGATTCATCCGATTTCACAGCACTGTATTTTTACTACTGTGAGGCGCCGAGGAACCAATCACAATCCAATTGAAAGAGGGGGTCATAGAGTTTCTGACTGTCAGTGGAAGATGGCTCCCTTCAGTCTGAGAGGAGATGCGACCCCTGAGCAGAAAGCGTTCTGCGTTCTCCACTTCAATAAGAGTGAATCCGTCATAACTGTGCAGTGTGATTTTCGTGGGCAGTGAAGCTCCAACAGCTCAGAGTGTTCGTTGTTGGTTCCACAACACTGGATGATCTCCGAAATCGCACTGAAAGAGCCGTGAGTGCAGCGACACCCGACACGCTCAATCCAGTATGGGATGAGTTTGACTATGGTGTTGATGTTGTCTGTACAGCTGGAGGAGGTTCATACTGAGACCTTGTACAATTACATAATAAACTTTATGCTCATTTAAACCATTTACAGTTTACTGCATTGATCTGTAATGATTTACAAGAGAAATTAATCATTTTGAAATCGGATGAATCTTTTTGAATCACCCTGTATGATGGATTATCTAAAATTATTCCATTTGCAAGAAGGTCTATCTATACTTTACTCATTGGTTGGCCAGTACTAAAGGTACGTGAGATACCTAAAGGCCCAAAACATACTTCACGCAAGAGTGTGAACGCGGACGCTTTGAGCTACGCAGACGGGGTTTCGCGTGTGGTTGCGTTCACAAATGTGTCACAACACTCCTCTACTGTCCACGTTTAGCTGTGGAGGCTGTTGGAATAGCAGTAGAGCCTCTCTGATCTGTCCTCTAGCGCCCCTTCAGTACTGTTTTAACCACCACAGCGACGCAAGAACAGGAGTTTGTGAAGAAGGATCGAGCGTTTGCGACGTGTTGGCCGAGCTCTGTTATTTGCGTTCACCTACTTGCGTGAAGTGTGTTTCAGGCCTAATTGTGCTAATTGTGTAAAAAGGCCAGTAAAATAGTAAAATACGCCCTACTCCGTATCTACATCTGTTTAAAAGGTTGGAACTTGAATTCAGGGTGTGTTTTCAGTGAGTTAAACAGTTTTCATCTTGCAGGAGCAGCATTTAATTACAAATTAATGTTTTGCATCCCAGATTTTATTCATTCTGTCCATCATTCACATTAGCAGTGTTTTCCCCTTCATGTTTTGAGTGAAGCTGTACAAAGCAGCCTCGGTGGACTCGGTAATACAGAAGAGGAGCTTTCATTGGACAGTTCCCGCTGCCACCTAACTTTTGGAATGCAGCTAGCGTGCACTAGTGTGAAGCTGCAGTTTTAAATTGTGAAAGTTAAGAGTTTACGATGTCTTCAACCTTCAAACATTGAATTTCAGCAGAATCTTATCTGCATTAGGCTGTTTGCAGTGTGCAGCTAAGATTTCAGAATGTTATAACGGTGATTAGGCATGTTATAACTAAGTTTAGCATGCTAACCTGTAACGTAGGTGTATTTAAATGACGTGATATGTTTTTTTTCTGTATATATTTTCTCCCCACAAGTTTGTTAGAGAGTCAAAATTGGAAAATTTCAAAACCAGTTTGGGACGAAGCCGATCCAGACTCTAGAGAGTAAGGAACACATTGCGTAGAGAACGAATGTGGAGGCCGAGTTGAGACACAGGGAGAACAAAAGGCTTTGAGATTGACTTCAGGGCAGTTGGAGACTTAATGATTTCAGTACCAAGTAGGAAAAAAATGCCACATTGCACTGCTGCACTGGCTGGTTCTCTCTCTCCGTATCTTTCTTTCTCTCTTTATCTCTCGAAATCTCACTCGCTTTTCTTGCTGCAGGACTCTATAACGATACTGTGATTGTGACTCTCTACTGTAGTTTTTCTGCTCTCTGTCCCAGTGACGACGATGGCCGTTTGTTTGACCTTCTAGACCCTCCCGTCCCCTCCTCCCGCCATCCCCTCCTCCCGCCATCCTCGATGCACTCAGATTTTCCCCTGTTCTCTTAGCCATGAAGAGGGACAACGAAGGGATGCACAGTACATCAGCGACTGATGTTATTCTCCGTTAAAGAGGCAATTTTCATTATTGTTGTCAGTCTGATTTTGGATTTACAGCCGATAATTGCAACCGATAACTTACCACCCTGAGTCTTCAGGCAAAACTGTTAGAATTACCAGCCTTGTAAGTGGCCCTGGATAAAAGCACCCAGGAAAGGAAGTAAAATATACAGTAGTATAAAATCATAATCGTTTACAGCTAAGGAACATTAATCAGTCATGCATCTTTGGCATTTTATCCTCTATGCCAGACTTAGTGGTGGCTGCTGCGTCCTGTGGTAAACAAAAATGTTCCAAAGCTGATACGTTTATCAGCTGATACACGTCTGTACATTTTCTACTGAATATCACCCGACCCTTTAAATTACGAGGCCATTAAAGAGTCAAAATTTTAATATTTTAACATAAGAGCTAACAGTGCTGCACACTGACCTGGCGTCGTAAGACTGACCTCACCCAAATACCCCACACAAACCAGCGGGCTCTGTCCAGTGTGGTAGTTTAGAGGCTTTTGGCAGGTTTAGGCTGCAGTTTGAGTAGCTGGTGTTGGTAAATAACAGTGCTGAAGTTAATCTATTTTAGGAGTCGCAACCCAAATGTTAAGAAGAACCATTTTGTCCTTTTAACAAAATAGTTCATCTTGGGAGCCACAACAATTCATGTCTATTTTACCATCATGGCTATAAATATGTCTCAGTATGTGTTAATGTCCTAGTATAGGATAAAAATATAATATAAATGAAAACTCAGACTTACTTTGCTCTGCTTTAAGCTTTAGCTCAGCTATAGCCGCTTTTCTCGCATCTCCAGCAGGAAACTTTTCCACAAAAGTGTAAAACTGTAAAACGTCTCTCAACGTTCGACTTTTTATGAGGCTGAAATCAGCTTCTCGTTGCCAGCTTCTTATCCGAAGTTTCCCGTTCCGCTAGCCCCGCCTACACTCGTAAATTGTCACTTTGCTGTTGGGTTATCCATTTTGCATTTTCACCAAAAAGGGTTCTTCTGTTGTTACAGCGTCAAGCTTTGGGTGCGATATAGAACCATTTTCAAAAAGGTTCTGTATAGAACCATCTACAGCACATTCTCCATCAGTCTGAACAACCATTTCATGATGCGAAGAACCCTTTAATCATGCAAAGGATTCTTTGAGTGTTCATGGTTCTGTATAAAACCATTTTCTTTGCTAAAGAACCCTTGAAGCACCATCTTTTTTTAAGAGTGTAGTTAATGTTTGCTTTTCACTGAACTACACAACTTAATATATGGATTATAGTGTAAACTTGAGGTGAAATACAAAGAAATGTAGGTGTTAATTATTGGTTATAATTATCGGCCCAGAGATTCTGTACAGGTGCATCCCTGAAGAAGAGCAGGATGAAAGGGGAGGGGTAGAATTGGTGACAAAAGCGAAGGATGGATGAGGGGAGGCGACGGTGAAAGCGTGAGGGTTGTGTGTGATGAATTCCCCCATAAATCATTTTCCTCCAGAAATGAAATCCCCAACACACACATACACACAAACACGCGCTGAAGTCTGAGCACTGCTTTGGGAAAGAGAGTTTGTGTGGTAGTATGTACTGTGGGCAGATTGTAAAACTATATCTAGAACTTTAGACCAGAAACATGCCTAACTCAAATACACGATCGCAAACGACAGCGCTCGGCCGACGCGCTGCGAGTAATAGAGTGCAAACCAGAAAGCGAGTGCGATCATTGTAATCAATACACCAATAATTATATCGACAGTTGAGGAGCGTCTACTGCTTTAGGGGACGTACAGACAAAACCAAAAGCCTGAGGAGATTTATGGTTATTATCATTAACCATATGATCCCGACAAACCCGCTGCCTGACCCAAAACAAAAAGAGAAGGTGTTTAACCTCTTATGCTCGTGGGTATATTTCGTTTATTCCATCTGAATTTACATGCACAAATCGTAAGGCAAAATATTCAGTAAACGCATGAAATAAATGTACATTTTTGGGGTTTTCTTTGTAAAAGCTCCCTTCGAATTAACAGAACATGTGTTTTATGATCACACATATTGCTATATACTTACAGTTTACTGCTGAAAGCCAAAAATCTTAGACGCTCTTTGTATTATTTTATGAAAATAATGTTTACAGAGCAGATCACTGAAGAGACGCCATCTGTTTATAGTTTATAGCCCAGATTTGTGGAAAAATGGGTCGACTTTCAGTAGAAAAAAAAGTTGAGTTCAGCTTCTTTTATTATAAGGGTTTAAAATGACATCACCCATCTATTTGGCTGGAGAGAAGACAGTTACAGCTCTCATACGACCCCCACCTTCTGAATGTAGCTTATGAAATATGAAAGTTATGAAGTAAAGAATATGACGATGTACGTTTTGGAACCACCGGTGGTTCTACAGAGTTAAAAAGGTTAAAACTGCCGCTAGAGGATTTGCGTCCCCTGCACGCCGCTGTCAGCAACAGTAAAGTCATTTTTATCAAGTTCAGTGCAGCTTTGTGTGCAGCATGTTTTTATCACTGTGTAAAATATGCATGAGGCTTCCTTTATTGTTGGATGCACCAAGTTTGAGCAAGCGCGTGGGCTCACTCAGAGCGCAGTTCAGATCAGAAAGGGTTTATTACCAATTCGTTTAATCAGTTTTGATATTGATGTGTGACTTATATTCCTATTTATATGTTTTCTTGTTCAAAAATAATTTGAATTTATTCAGAGGTCATACTATTAATGGGAAAGGAGTTGGGAAAACAGCAGAAATACCCACTGTTTTGCATCGGCTTTAAATTGTGAACAAAAACTAGTAGAAATGCACTCGTTAACTGTAATAAAAACAATAACGGCAGTTTTTAAAAGCGCGAATGCTATAAAGTCCACTGCAACAAGAATGAAAAATAAATAGCATTACAGTGTTTTGTGTTTTCAGATGGTCTGCAGGTGAATTCTTGATGTCAAACCTTACATTTCCAGAAGAGGGCGCTGTCCGAGCAGCCCAGCTCCTGTTGTGCTAAGCATTGTAATACTCCAGTTCGGAATTCTGACTAAATATTTACTATGAAACTGAATCTAAAGCTGAAAATGGGTTTATCGTTGCTGTGGTCCGCTCAAGGGAAACAGTGTCATTATAGAATAGTAGCCGTGGTCACATCTGTAACTTTAGATGGAACCAGTTATGTGCAATAGCCTTTTTATCAGGAATAACGAAAACGTTTTTGAGCTAGCAGGGAGGTGAAGGACTTCTGTCAACAAGAACTTCATGTAGGTCATGTAATGTAGATAATGTGTTCCTAGAATTTACTGAAATCTCACTGCAGTCCCAAAACATATGCAGACGTTATCAGTGTCGCCTGTGTTTTGTCTTACAGTCATCAGTAAGCCCTGTGTTTGCGTTTAAAACAAGTTAATTGATCAACTAGATTTATTAAGCCGCTAGTCAGATTAGAGCAGATACGATCCCACATGGGACGGAATCCAAACTGATTCACCTCCCATTCCCACTTAAATGGTGTTTCTAATGACGAATAAGATTTATGTAGTATAAAACTGTAGAACTGTGATGTGTTTGAGAGTGAAATGTTATCAGAGAGGGTCTCTGAGCCAACTGGGTGTTTTCTCTGCATGAAAGAAGGGGGTAGTGATGTTTGGGGTGTGGGATGGGGGGGCAGCGGAGGATGGGGGGTGAAACATATGGTTAATATTCAGCTGACTTTAAACGAGCAGAAATTGAAACCAAAATAAACATAAAGAATGATAAAAATAATGAAAAATTTCTAAAATGCAGTCTTACAAAAGCTGGTTCTTCAGTACTGGTTCTATGTAGAAGCTTTTTGAAAAGGGTTCTATATAGAACAGCCAGAAGGGTTCTTCTACAGTTACGGTGTCAAGCTTGCAATCCTTAGAGCCATTTTCAGAAAGGTGTATACGACACATTCTCCATCAATCTGTAGAATCATTTCACCATGCAAAGCATTCTTTGAGTGTTGGTTTAGAAACGCTGTCTTCATTAAAGAACCCTTGAAGAACCATCTTTTTAAGAGTGAATAGCAACTGGGCTTGAAGCGTTTGCGCTTGTGTGTGTGTTAAGTCTGTTTCTGGTCTCAGTGTTCGGGTACAGCGTGTGAAAAGAGCAGGAACCGTATTCAGGATCATCAGCACCTTAAAAACGTTCACCAGGTTTTTGTCCTCCTTTTTTAAGTTGAGTTTCATTTTGGTCTGCGAGTCTTGACACAGAGAAACTTCGGAGAAAAAAAAAAAACATACTGTTGATCTGGTCCAGCGAGACGCGAACGAACTGACTGACCAGTCTGCGATTTTTATTTCTGTCCTCGAGCGAAAAAAAAAACAACCTCAAACGAATGCAACTGTCGTTACTGCTTCCAGGAGGACGAAAGGAAAGCAACGTTTTGCCCGCGACTGTTTTTTAATCATCGTTTCTGTTCGTTTCTGTTGTGAATGTGTGAATCAAGTGTTTGAAAGAAGGGCTTAGTCAAGTGAAATTGACCTTAATACCCAGAAATGAGTGTCCGACCCCTCCTCCCTCTCCGCTGAGAAGGAAAGTGATTTTAGGGGGGGAGGAAAAAAAAATCCTGGTTTTGTACTGGAGTGATTTGTTTGATCAGTTTAGTGTTGGTACTGTATATTATCTGGTTATACACTAACTTAATTTTTTCTAATTGGAGATTTTTTCTGTTCCTCCTGTTTAGAACCACAGTAAGATTTGAATCATCTTTAGGTTGTTATTGTTATTATTTTTTTTTTTTTTAGCATTAAGCTGAAATAATACCTCTTCGATAGGAATCAGTACAGTTCTGGCACTGCATCTCAATGCCTTATTGTACCACTCTACCACATTTTAATTCGTAAAAACGCTAAAAAAAAAGGTATTTTAAATCTTAGTCTTGGATCCAGTAAAAGGAAAAAAAATATTAATGGGATGTATTTATATTTATATTTTTATATTTCTCAGCAGTATGCATGTCTATTAGCAATTGTAGAGTAAAAAAAAAATGTTGATGCTTACCATGATCATGAATATTATGTTATTATTTTGTAGATTATGTAGATCATGTTATTATTTTGTAATTTTGACTATTAAAAAGAGGTAATTATATGGCTTTGGGTGGAGTGTGTTTTTTTTTTTATTTTGAAATTTAAAGTAATTTATAGTTTATTGTTATAGTTATATAGTATAGTTAAAATATGTACTTAAAAAGTCATATATGTATATTTATATTGTTTCTACGCTCATTGTCCATTTTATCAGCTCCACTTACTATAAAGGTGCACTTTGTAGTTAGTGTGTGTTGTGCTGGTCTGAGTGGATCAGACACAGCAGTGCTGCTGGAGTTTTTAAACACCTCAGTGTCACTGCTGGACTGAGAATAGTCCACCAACCAAAAATATCCAGCCAACAGCGTCCTGTGGGCAGCGTCCTGTGACCACTGATGAAGGACTACAGGATGACCAACACAAACTGTGCAGCAGCAGATGAGCTATCGTCCCTGACTTTACATCTACAAGGTGGACTGACAAGGTAGGAGTGTCTAATAGAGTGGACGGTGAGTGGACACTGTTTAAAAACTCCAGCAGCACTGCTGTGTCTGATCCACTCAGACCAGCACAACACACACTAACACACCGCCACCACGTCAGTGTTACTGCAGTGCTGAGAATGACCCACCACCCAAATAGTACCTGCTCTGTGAGGGTCCATGGGGGTCCTGACCACTGAAGAACAGGGTAAAAGGGGGCTAACAAAGTATCAGAGAAACAGATGGACTACAGTCTGTAACTGTAGAACTACAAAGTGTACCTATATAGTAAGTGGAGCTGATAAAATGGACAATGAGTGTAGAAACAAGGAGGTGGTCAGAATGTTATGCCTGATCAGTGTATGTATACATTGTGTGTAAATGTCATGATGAATGGACTAAAAAAAATGGCCCAAACATTACTTGGAAAAAGTCTGGTTCCAGTGACTTACACTGAAAGTAAAGTAGGTTTTTTCCTTCTCCTGTAAAGTTACCATTTTGGAGATATGAAGTTTTCTTCTGACAACAACGACATATGTATATATACTGCATATACACATTTCCAGTCATGTTATTATTTTCCAGAGGGTATTTCTGAGGAGATTAGATAAAAGACAATCCAGTTGCTCAAGGAGGAGAGGAAATAAAAGTAAAAAGCAGTTGTTCCCAAAACTGGAGACTCCTAACAACCACCTGGAAGAGCTGGTCGACCCCAAAACTGCCCCCATCAGATAAACAGCACTTAAAGCTTTCATCTCTGAGAGAGAGGAGAAAATCAAGCTGCTTCAGATCTGAAAACATCCACAGGTGTTTCTGTCCATCCTTCCACTGTGAGAAGACGACTCAGCGCTGTGGGTCTGAAAGGATGTGTAGCTGATCAAGAAGAACCTCACTGAGAAAAGGAGACGGACACATCAAACAAAGAAGCTGAACGATGGACTGACCACCCCAGAGTCCAGACCTCAACACCACTGAATGTGTTTGATTACTTCAGAAAATGATCAACCAGCTTCTCAGACTGAACTTTGGAGGTGTGTCTGCAGATTCTTTGAGGAACTGAAAGAGAGTCTCCTGAAGAGAATGGAAGCTGGAATAAAGGTGAAGAGAGACTCACTGAACACTGAACACTCAGACAGCTGAGATTAGATGTAGCTGTTGGTCCTAACAGAGATGTGTGAGAGTGTTTTAATGTGAATGTGAGAGAGATGAATGTGCAAAGTTGACCTTTCCCTCCTGCTCATATTTGGAGCAGGAGGCTGATCCTGTGCAGGACTGTGGTTCTCCTCCTTTAATTGAGCAATCCAGGAGAACGTCCAGTACTCAGATCTTCAAACACAGACCTGCTTTACAGTGCTGTGCTCACCCTGAGCCCCAAATGGCCAAAGTGTCATAATCTGTGCTGCCCTTTTTATGCGTTTCTGAACAAACATTGTCA